TTGGTCCCAGGACAGCTGCAAGGCTTTGCCTTTCCCTTTTCTTGGTTTGCTTTGTCTCCCCTTGGCAGTGCGGTGCCAGCAAGGGCAGCCTGGTGGGGCCCATCAGTCTCGTCTCCCTGTCTGGGGCAGGTAGACAGGCACCGTGTGGGAACCTCTGCAGTGCCAAGGAGGACGGACTCTCAGATGGCCCCGGGCTGCCAGCACTGCTGTTGTGCACTTGTGCTGAGTTTCTTTGTGTCTTTGGCCTCATTAAATGTCTCTGCTGCATTCAGGCCTGGTCTCTCTGCAATCATTCCCCCCCTGCTCTGCAATTTGTCAAAGTAAAAGGGAGCCTAGCAAGGCTGGGGCCCCAGCAGACCTGCTGTTTGCAACCAGAGGAGTGCTGCTGGGAGATGTGGTGGCTGGAGGCCGTGTTGGGCACAGCAACTATGAAATGACAGGGTTTTTATTTCATGGAAATGAAGGGATATCAAGAAAACCTCTACCCTGGGATTCCAGAGGACTGACTTCGGCCTGTTGAGGACACTGATTTGGAACGTCCCTTGGGAAGCAGCTCTTGAAAAGAAAGTGGCCCCAAAGACTGGATGTGATTTAAGAAATAAATCTCATAGGCACAGAAGCAGCCTGGACCTCTGTGCAAAAAGATATAGAGGTAGAGAAGAACTGCCTGGCTGAGAAGGGAGCATTCCCAGGAACTCTGGGAATAAATAGATGTTTCATCACCTTTGGAAAAGGGCAGGCAGCTCAGGAAGAGTTGGACGATGTCATTAGGTCATGTAGAAAGAAAAGCAGAGAGGACAAAGTGCAGAACTTGATCTAGCCCATTCTGTAAGGGATAACAATGTTTTTACAAATACATTAACGAGGACTGAGAATAATCACTATTCTCCATTGGACACCGTGGGCAATATATTCACCAAAACTAAGGGAACTGCTGAGGTGATTAGCAACTTCATTGGTTCAGTCTTCAGGAGCAGGATCCTCACGGGAACTGGCCTCATGGTCTGGGAGAGAGGGAAGATAAGCAGCATGGAACAGCTGTAATCCAGATGGAGAAAGTTAAAGATTGGCTAAGGGATTTAGATGCTCAAAAGTCCTTGGGATTGGGAGGGATTTGTGCTAGGGAGATCAGGCAGCTGGGGCAAATGATCATTAAGCCAGTGCTGAGAAGAGGGGCAGAGGGAGGATGGTGACTCCGTGCTGGTCGGTGACTCGGTGCCGGTGTGGATTTTGAAGTCTGTATCGGCATCGGTCCCATTGCCGGTGTCGGCGGCGGCAGCGCCCCGGGATCCCGGGCCGAGCGGGGCGAGGCGGCCCCGGCGGCCGGAGCGGCAGCGCCCCCTGCTGGCCCCGCCCGGCCCCGCCCGCGCCGGTTCGTGCCCGGCCGCAGCCCCGGCTCCTCTGCCCGTGGCCCAGCGCGCAGTAATACACGGCCGCGTCCCCGCGCCGGGGCCAGCCGAGCCGCAGCGCGCTCCAGCGCCGGTCTGCCGACACCCACAGCTGGCCCAGATTGTCCGGCAGCTTTTTGGAG